AAGCAACTGCCCATCTTCCTACTGTTTCCTTTCCCGCTTATGTCCCCCTTTCCCCTTTTTCTGCCATGTCGTCCCACATCTGCGCCCACAGTGGTCGGACACCTTCCCTTGTTTCAATCCCCTCACATGTCCTGCTAAGCTAATGTACATGCTCTTTCTTATGTTACACCCTAGTTTGCATGCATCCCCCATACTCCGACTTTTCCGCGGTGTTCGATTTCCTGATCCCTTTAATCGAACCACAGTACCTCAAACAGTTTAAAGACAACATCTACGTAGAATGGAGCGGCCACCGCCTCCCGGCTAACTATGGCGTCCCAAGCCCCCGCCTCTACCTCTAGGCGGTCATACTTGCCTATCCTCAAGACGGTGAGGACTTTCCCGACTTTATCTCCATAGAAGGGCCCATATTTTAACGAGATCCTATAGAATTCCTCAGTCAGTCAGGCACACTCTATGTGTACTTCTTTCATGGAATCGGCCACTTCTACGATGTGCTCGAAACCCCCAAACCACTCGGCCACGAATTCCGGCACCCATGTCGTTGTTCGTAGGCCGGAAGGCTTGAGTTCCTTGCATCCCCCCATCACAACTCTATTACTGACTTCGTCTCATCCTTCGTTGGCGAACCTCTTGCCCTCTTTTCGGGTTCGCGCCTCTGCATCCCCTAGAAGCCACATTGGATCCTGTCACTTTTACTAACATAGTGCAAAATAGGCGCCACCTGTCTTCGGAAAGAACGACCGTCCCGACTGATTCCACTTTGCCTTCTGCTATCTCATCCTAGCCTTCCTCTTCCCTTATCGGGTTCCAAATCCGCTTTATCCATACATATGATAATCCCGGGGCAACCTCAAACCCACCCCAGTCGCATGTGGTTCCTCTCCACTCGTTTTCTGCTGGTATAGGCATTTCTACCCCCCCCCCCCTGAGTCGCCTTGGTTCCTATCCCTTGAAGGTGTATTCCATCAGCAATTCCTCTCGAGTCATCTTTTCCCTTCCTGCACAATGCCAGGCCACTCAGTCTCCCTAAGTAAGTCACCCTCCTTAGAAGTCACAGTCCTCTATCTCACCATCTTCGTCCTCATCACTGAACTCGTCCTCTTCGCTGTAGAACAACTCCTTCACCCCTTCCAGGAATATCTCCCCTACTGCCACATTTCTGTAGACTATCCCCCAATGCACGGAGCTAGGGACAAAGACATTGTCTACTCTAAGGCAGTTTGGCATCTCAGCCAGCTCCTCCGCCTAATTCCCTTCAAACCGTCCCATCTCTACCGACAACCGAAAGAAATCTTGCCTAGCGCACTGGTATAGTCCGAGGTTCGTCATGGACTGGCATATCCGTACTAGTCTGCTCCGGGTTCCGAAGACCGCATCCACCAGAAAGGGAGGCAGCGCACATCGCATGGTTCTTACGGGTCGCCTCACGCTTCCCCTATCCCTAAATTCCACTCCCACATCTACCTTTTCTATTTCCATTTCCCTCCGCTGACATGCAGCCCATACAACCTCCGCTTCTGCCTTCCTAAACAATTTGTCCAGCGTATTCCCGAGTGCCAAATCTATGACCATAGCATTCTCCCTGTGTTGTGACAAGTAGACCCACCCCCGGGCTTCCACTGTCCCTCAGAACTCCAGATCCATTAAACTTGGCGACAACCTTGTCAAGCTGACATTAGCCCATATTGTCTCTATCCAAAGAAATGTGTCCTCCCCTTCCAGTATTACAGTTTGATATGCTGGCTCAAGATCTGTCCACGTCCCATCTTCCGGGAGGACGACTGATACCCCATCTCATACATCTACTGGCATTTCCAGACCACTGGTATAAATCGGGGAAGACAACCACCGCGCCATCTTGTTTCCAGCACCCGACCCCTGTTTTCATAAGAGAGTACCAAACGGTCCCTTCTGGTTAGGTCAACCCTCGTCCTAGATGAGAGTTATTTCAGACCCCTCATCAAGGTCTCCCTAGTTTACCTCCCCATTCCTAAGTACCACCTTCCCACAGTGTTCTCGGTCGGCCATCCATTTTCCAACATTCTTTTTCTTGGTTCCATTCCAACTGACCTCTATCCTCCTTCCTTCCGATCATCTCTCACTCGTGTAGACTTAGACGGGGAGGAGAGAATAAACTTAGAATTACGCCCCGTCCAACAATCCAACCTCAATCAATCTTTGAGGGGGAACAAAAAGATCAGGCAATCTCACATGCGGGCTGGTCATTTCCTCACCGGCCTATCCCAATATGGTCTCTCCATTGGTACTATCGGTAGAGTTTTATCCCATACCTCAAGTGCAGGTCAACCGTCGCGAGCGCGGTACCCAGGCTCCGGCACAGGGCGTTACCCCTCTCCATTTGCCCAAAATACCCCATCCCGTTTTGCCGCTCTTGCCTACCCTCGTTGGTACCGGGAATTACCCCTGCGCACCCCGTTAGGAGCAGTCGTCAGTCGTTCGGGCATTCACTTTCATCGGTCCGATAAAAATCAACCTTTCCCAAGCCGTGCTACGAGAAGCTACTAATCGTCTCCGAGGTTCCTTCCTTGCCCGTATGCAGTGGTACTCCCCCCGCCCGCCAACAAGCTAAGCCCCGCTTGAGGAGACGTTTCGCACCCCGCCCGGGCAAGATCATCTAGCCAAGCTCGTGACCGCCCGGACGAGAATACTACTAATCAACCGGCGTGACAAACTCCCGTCCGACAACTCGGTGGCCTGACCTCCACACACGAGCACCCGGCAACCTCAAAGAGAGCGACGTTTCACAACCCTCACCGGCCGGTGCAGACCCATCCCTTCCTTCCGAAAGGCAGGACGCTCAAGTCCCAAGTGGGACACATAGAGTACAAGAGCTTTTCCCTTGGTGCACCCAAGGCTTCCTACCCATAGCTCACAATTTTCTCTCAGGACAAGTGAGTGTCACTCCCCCTACTTTCATACACAGTGGATAGTTCCTTTTCGTGAGAGTCTTCAAAGGTGAGCTAGTTTTCCTTGGAATCTAGCAACTCCCTTCATTCCCTTTTCTCTTCACTTGTCATACGAAGAGGAAGGGTCGACCTGCGACTTGCCCAAGGCTTCCCCGGACTGGCGAACACCAGCACCGGACGAAGGATGGCTAGAGCCATTCCCCAAGGAGATGGCTAACCCAGTGCATAGCATACATGTTATACCTCCACGCCTGGCCATGCCATGCGCTCAACCACTCTCAAATCTGACTCTCACAAGGGAAAGAGCAATCACAAGTCCATTTTCCTTATCTTGAGTTGTGTACACGTCAATGCGTCGGGCGCCCCCGTCGGAATCGCAAGGGTCGTTTTAACCTAATGCCCGTCACCTCCACCATTTTTGTAGGGCCAAACCCTGATAGACTTTCGAGCCTTAGTCGATCCCACTGTGGGTCCCAGCTGGCTCGGCCCGCCCACGCTCATGCTCAGAGCGCGGGCCATTCGTCCCAAGGTCACCCCCACCTAGTGCCTTGAGATGGATGGGGGTGGGCCATCGCGCGAGAGAGCTTTGACATTGGGGATGTAGCTCAACCCTCACGCTGGATGGCAGTCTCGCTGGTCATCGGTCAACGCTGATTTCTTTTCGATTCTTAGTTATGTTCTCAAGCAATTGCTCCTTCCAATACGCAGGCAGTCCAAGGACTCTTTGAGTGTTTCTCTTCTCTTGTGCGCAGGCTAAGCGTCATCCTTAGGCCGCGCACCATTTCCCTAAGTATCGTGATCCTCCGGCGTTATCGGGGTGCGGCGAAGCTGTCCTCCCCCTCTTCTCTACGCACCCATCGGGTCTCATACTTCTCATTTAACCTTATTGACGCATGCCCCTTAGTCTTTTCGGGGCCTTTACATGCATGCACACACAACTTCAGATTTCCCTCGGCAAGATTGCACTCCATTTTCTCATTTACACTCCAAGTCTCAAACGCAAAGGTCATTTTCATGAGTTGGCTTTATGTTGAGGGTCCCGTAGCCCCTTTGCCCCTCTTCCCTTTTCCTTTTGATAACCGGTTCTTCCTGGCCCTATCCCGCTCAAGGCATCCTTAGCCTTCACTTACGTGCACAATCCCACACAAAGCAAAAATCCATACAATCCCCCGTTGGGGGTCAACACATAGCCCTTCCCACATGCCTATCTTTCCATGCTCTTTGGCTGCTCTTTGTTCCCTTTCTTTGCTCAATCAGCCCATCCTCTTCTCATAGTCATGCACTCGGGGAAATGGTTGAGTCAAACTGACCTCGCTTCAACTTGTACTTTCTCCGGATTCCGCCCTTCCCCACTTTTCCAAACGTCCTTTCCTTTGCCTTATTGGTGGCACAAGGGACCGGCTACCCTTCCCTTGCCGTCTCTCTCCACTAAGTGAGGTCTGATCTCTTTTTACCGTTCGCACCCTGGCAATGTAACAAGTGAGGGGAGGGGGGTTAGTCATATGCCAAGTGAGGGGAAGATAGAGAGAGGGCAAGGCGAAGAGGGAGAGAGAGAGAGCGGGAGTGGGAGAGGAAGAGAGAGAGAGAGAGAGGGAGAGAGAAAAAGAGAGGAGAGMGARAGAGAGGAGAGCGAGAGAGAGAGAGAGAGAGAGAGAGAGAAAGAGAGAGAGAGAGAGAGAGAGAGAGGGAGAGAGAGAGAGACATAGAGAAAAGAGATTTCTAATCCTATTCAAATCATCATCCCGTAGTAGCAGCCAAATATCAGTCACCCATCCCATAGTAGTAGCAGCCAAATGTCGGTCACCAATCCCATAGTAGTGGCAGCCAAATATTGGTCACCCATCCCACAGCGAAAGATCAACTACGCATGAACCCGAACACTTCAATCATACATGAACTTAACAATGAGAAGGTTGAGCTTGTGAAAAGTATGTGCGCATGAAAAGATCAACTAAGTATGAACCGGATCAAAACAACACACATGAGCTTGACAATGAGAAGCTTGAACTAGTGAAGGATACATGCACATGGAGGAAAAATCAACTAAGTATGAACCGGAACATCACAACATACATGAACTTGACAATGAGAAGCTTGAACTAGTGAAGGACACATGCATATGAAGGGAAGATCAACTAAGTATGAACCGGAACATCATCATGTGAGAGTGAGTCATGTATGTGAGTGAGACTTGCTCAAACACATGCTCATGGCTCATGTATGCAACCAAGGTTTGAGACAAAATGCCATCATGTGAGAGTTGAGCCATGTATGTGAGTGAGACTTGCGCAAACACATGCCCATGGCTCATGCATGCCACCAAGGTTTGAAATAGGATGCCATCATCTACTATATGAGTGGAAAGCATGAGCTAGTCTAGTCCCAAAACACAAGTCTTGAGCACGAAATCACTCATGGAAAAGTCGGATTATTTCCTACTAGCATATGGGTGAGAATCAAGACTTACATTAAACCAAGTCACGAGCGTTGAGCATGAGCTCATTCATAGAAGAATCGAAGCATCACCCACTAACCGAGAAGTGAAAGGCAAGAGTTGAAGTAGCCCAAATCACAAGGATTGATCATGAGATCATCCATAGAAGAATCGGAGCATCTCCTACTAGCATATGAGTGGAAAGCAAGAGTTACACTAGGCTATATCACAAGATTTGAACATGAGATCATCCATAGAAGAATCGGAGCACTACCTACTAGTGTGTGAGTGAAAAACAAGAGTTATACTAGGCTATATCACAAGATTTGAGCAAGGGATCATCCATGAAAGAATCGGAGCATCTCCTACTGTGAGTGAAAAGTGAGATACACTAAGACCAAATCACAAGTAATGAGCAAAGAATCGGAGCATCTTCTACTAGCATGTGAGTGACAAGCAAGATCTGCACTAGGCTATACCACAAGATTAGAGCAAAAGATCATCCATTGAGCAATCGGACCCTCTCCTACTAGCATGTGTGAGTGAAAAACAAGAGTTTGAGTAACCCAAATCACAAGTGTTGCGCATGAGATCATTCATAGAAGAATCGGAGCATGACCTACTATTGAGTGAGTGAAATGCAAGAGTTACATTAGACCAAAGTAAAAGAAGTGTACATGAGATTATCCATAGAAGAATCGGAGCATCTACTACTAGTGTATGAGTGAAATGCAAGAGTTTTTGTAGCCCAAATCACAAGTGTTGAGCATGAGATCATTCATAGAAGAATCGGAGCATCACCTACTAGTGTGTGAGTGAAATGCAAGAGTTACACTAGGCCAATCACACGGATTGAACATGAGATCATCCATAGGAGAATCGGAGCATCTCCTACTAGTGTGTGAGTGAAATGCAAGAGTTACACTAGGCTGTCTCTCAAGATTTGGGCAAGGGATCATCCATGAAAGAATCGGAGGATCTCCCACTAGCATGTGAGTGAAAGGCAAGATCTACACTAGGCCAAATCCCAAGTATTGAGCATGAGATCATCTATGAAAGAATCAGAGCACTACCTACTAGTGTATGAGTGAAAAACAAGAGTTTGAGTAGTCAAAATCACAAGTGTTGAGCATGAGATCATCCATAGAAAAATCGAAGAATCACCTACTTGTGTGTGAGTGAAATGCAAGAGTTACAGTAGGCTATCTCACAAGATTTGAGTAAGAGATCATCCATGGAAGAATCGGAGGATCTCCCACTAGCATGTGAGTGAAATGCAAGAGTTACACATGGCTATCTCACAAGATTAAAGTGAGAGATCATCCATGGAAGAATCGGAGGATCTCCTACTAGTATGTGAGTGAGAAGCAAGATCTGCACTAGGCCAAATCATAAGTATTGAGCATGAGATCATCCATGAAAAGAATCGGAGCACTACCTACTGGTGTGTGAGTGAAAAATAAGAGTTTGAGTAGCCCAATAGGAAGAAGATGAAGAAGAAGAAGAAGAAAAAGAGGAAGAGGAAGAAGAAGAAGAGGAGGAGGAGGAAGAAGAGGAAGAAGAAGAAGAAGAAGAAGAAGAAGAGGAGGAAGAAGGAGAAGAAGAAGAAGAAGAAGAAGGAGAAGCACCGTCTTCCTTCCACTGGCCTTGTTAATGTCTTGGAGATGGAGTCTCAAGCTTGATGAGGCTTCTTCCTCCTTGCACAAAACACCTTCTTGGTTATGGCCTCCTTCTTCTTCAAGCCTCTCTCCTTCCTCTCTCACTCTCTCCCAAGTTACCACAAACTTCAATCACCATAGCTATGGAGTCCACCCCTTTAGGGGGGCAAATGAGACTCCCTCTAGCCTCTCTCTCTTCCTCACACCCAGGGGGCTATGGCGAATCCCCTCCCTAGGGCCAGCCTCACTACCACTAGTCTCTAGAGCTCCGCTCCCTATCTCATGGTTTCCACCAAACTCCTAAACTGGCATGGGTTCCCTTCTCCTCTCTCTTAGTGAAATAGTGCTCTTATGAGCTCACTTGGGCAGCATGGGCACTCCTCATGGAATTGTGAATGTGGCGAATGGAATTCCCAGCTTATGTAGGTTGAAACCAGCAGTCCGGCCAGCCCATGGGCCTCCCCATGTGCCTTGAGGT